AGCCCCTGCCTCTCACTCGAGAAAACTTGGTTCAATAAATTTGCTGTGAAAAAATAACTCAATTTAAAAGCAAGAAAAATTCTATTATAGAACTTATTTGTAACCAACCTGAAGCTTGTAATGTTCATACAGTACAAGTAAATGCCTGACTAATGGCAGATTGATCGGTTTGTATAAGTTCACATCCTCGTAATAGCCAAATTGGTATATATAGAATGAAGTTCTGACATCGTCTCAACTTCTCGTACCGATTTTTTGTCTCTTAATTCACTCGTACGTAACGCACGTGATTAATATTTGTAACAACGCCGTCAGAGACAGATTGAATACAGGTCGACTCCTATGCTTTTCGCTGCGGAATTTTCATCTTCTTGAGCACAAGTCATTAAACGACACAAAATAAGTGATGGATTACCGTAAGTTGGAAATGAAGTGTAGCTTATAGAGCTAAATTTCTCTAGAGATGGCTATGAAGGGGGATACAAGAAGTCGGAATATTTGATACCTCTTTTAAACTCCAAAGAAGAGTAAAGAGAATAAAGGTGTTACGACTATAAGCTCTTTCTCCCTTTTCCAAAACACTTCGCCTTATTAAGTTCTCCCCTTTCTTCGCCTCTCCCCCCCTTCCCAAAATAAAATTTGCATTTTAGAATGAATAAACTTTGTGTATGTAAATTATTGTACGTCAAGTGGTAAAAGGAAAGTCACTCACATCGACATTTACATAGGGCGGCAACCATAAATGAATTTGGTCGAATCGGAAAATCTTGTTGAATGAAATTATACTCGCATTCATTTTAACTCACATTCACGCACACATTTGAATTTTAATCACTCACTCACTTCGCTCAGACAGACCACTTGGCGGTGTCGGCTGCGGCGGTGGCGGTGGTGGCAGCGGCGGCGGCGAAGGGGCGGCGGGAGAAGCGAGGGTAGGACTGGGTCCGAACTTGAGAAGGCGGCTTAAGGGCAATAAGGGCACCAAGGGGAGAGTCATAAGACATCTTTGTGGCATATAACAAGTAATAACTAAGATAACTAAAAATGATGTCTGTTGATTAGGAAGAGGTATTCATGCAGTCCTTTAGTTACGCTTTAGCAAAAAAGGGACAAAAATCCTGATTCCCTTTTGACATCTAATCTTGAGAAGCTAAAATAGGATTTTTATTCCTCCCCTTTTGCCTAACCCTTCGAATTAGTGGGAGTTAGAACAATGAAGGGGAGGGGAACTGTGTCAAAAGTGCTG